GTGTTCAGAGCCGGCAACGGACGCCGCCTTGAGTCAGGGACAACAAAGGTAGCATTGAGGTTTTGTTTTGTTTTTTAATTACTTAATTTTTAGAATGGATAAATAAAAATTGCATATATTTTCATGCATGCTGAAAAATATATTTCATTCTGTGCATTAGCTCTTTGGACCTTCCCAATAGCCCTGGGAACTATCATTCTCCCCTTTTTACAGACCGGGAAGCTGAGGTTCAGGGAGGTGAGAGACCTTGCTTAGGATCCCTTGTTTTAGATTCGAGTCCAGATCTGCTTGACTTCTCGGCCGTGCTCTTAACCGTGTTCTGTGATGACAAACAACATTCTTGAGTGGGTGCTGTGCTGAGCTCTCTACAATAGTATAGGGGATTAAAAATGACGCTCCAATCTATGCCCTGTTTTGGGACTAATAGAGGGTGGGCAGAGAGGTTTCCTGTGTTGGTTTTCTCTTAATTATGTTTAGCTCCACAAAATCCTTAATATTTTGGGGAGGTATATTCTGTCTGGTCTTCCACAACAGATGCTGTAATTATGCTTGTTCTGTAGATAAGGAAAACAAAATTCCTAAAGATAGCAGTCACTGGTTCAAAGACACAGAGACACAAGGGCTAGAGCTTGGATTTGAACCCTCAAAGCAGGAATTACCACTCAGGTTTGGGTGGGTATTCGTCTCATGCCCTGCACCTTTTTTTTCTTTCTCCTTTTAAAAATCAGTTAAATTTAGTGCCAGACCCTGTGATGTGTGCTCCAGAGATACAGAGGTGAGAAAAAGCCTTTGTCCCCTCAGCGTTAGGATTATAACGATCTTTTGTCAGTGCTTGGAGGTTGCAATGAATTGCATCCCCACCTCCATCTTACGGCCAAGTTGGAAGTCAGGCTGTCCCGAGAAAGTTGAACTAGTGAAGTTACTCCCAATGAATGGTGTTGAGCCATTCATGGCGCCTCATTGTCCTTAGAAATAAATCTGAAGTCCCTAACACTGTTGCAGAGGGACAAACTCCACCTCTTCTTGCCTATCTGAGGCCATTCTCTCTCACTAGCCAGGCATGCCCCAGCAAGGTTGGTCCTCTCTTTCCTCCCATTTCTGGCCTTCACGTGTATTTTATTCCTGCCCCCTGCAATGCCCTTTGGGTCAGTGCTCCCCCTTCCAGTTGCTTCTCCTCTTCCTCCAGAGCTCTAGTCAACAGCAGATTCTCTATTGACTATTGATTGCAGTCGTCTAACCAGCTGTCTGACTACAGCAAATAACTTGACCTTTCCAGGACCCAGTTTCTTGTCTGTAAAATGGGATAATAATAATAATAGCAATGCCTGCCTCCTGGGGCTGTTTTGAGAATTAAATGAGGAAGTTCATGTGAGGTACACAGAACAGTGCGTGCAACAGAGAAAGTGCTCAGAAAAGGTGGAAATTATGGGGAATGGGGAGAAACTGATAAATGAGTCTGAATTTTATTATTTTGGAGAGATGGAAATGCTTTGGAACTAGATAGAGGTGGTGGTTTCACAATATGGGGAATATACTAAATGCCACTGAATTGTTCACTTTAAAATGGCTACTTTTCTGTTATGTGAATTTTGCCTCAATACATTTTGTGGGTCGAATTAATTTATTTTCATTTGTAAAGACAGGGCCTCACTCTGTCAGCCCGGCTGCTGTTGGGGAGTGTCCAGTGCCCAGTGGGAACGGGGCCCCCATGGATTGTGATCCCCAGCGACATCTCACCCCAGAGCGAAGACAGGCTGAGGAACCTTTAGGTCTCAGCCTTGGTAACTGCATGGTTTGGGGGGCGAGAAAGCTCGGACAAGCACGTGGGCCTCACTCCATCCCCTCTGACACTTCCCACCTGCTCTCACTGGCTCCTCCCCCAAATCAGACCTGAGCTAGGAGGCCAAGAGTGAGGTGGCTGTGGGTACTTGGATCTGAGAGTGGGTTGGGAGACCTCATTCCAGACTGGGTCAGCAAGAGGAGGAGAGGCTTGTGGGTGACAGTGCTCAGAGCAGGCAAGCTCTGCCTCGGGCCCAGAGCCTCTCTCTTGTAAAACCTCAGGCTGGCGTTTGAGAGATGTTTTTCAGACCTTGCATTCTGATGGGCCCATGACCCCATCCAGACCTGGAACATATACCAAGGGGCTGACTCTGCCACTCCTATGACCCCCCTCAAATGACTCCTAATGTTGTTCAAATCCATCTCTCTCTGTCTCCTCAGCCGCTGTCCCAGTTAATGTCCTCATTGTGGCCCCTGACAGTTCCATCAGCCCCTACCCTGGCCCTGAGAGGGTGTGAATGAGCCCTGATGGTGCTTATGAAACCATCTGTATAAAATTAATATAGAGCCGGGCTTGGTGGCTCAGCCTGTAATCCCGCGCCTTTGGGAGGCTGAGGTGAGCCTGCGGGTTTGAGACCCGCCTGGGCAGGCGAGACCTCATCTCTACAATAAATCAAAAAATTAGCCGGGCGTGGTAGCGCACACCTGTAATTCTGGCTGCTCGGAAGGCTGAGGCAGAAGGATGGCCGGAGCCCAGCAGGTCGAGGCTGCGGTGGCCGGGAGCGACCACTGCACTCCAGTCTGGGCGACAGAGTGAGACTCCAACTCCAAAAATAAATAAATAAATAAAATAAAATTAAGATAGGGCCATGGGGTAGAAGCTTGAAGGAGATCTGAGCCCTGTAAAATTGCAGCTAGGGTTAGAAATGAACAAATCAGGGCAGGGTGTGGTGGCTCACACCTGTAACCCCAATACTTTGGGAAGCTGAAGTGAGAGGGTGGCTTGAGGCCAGGAGTTTGAGACCAGCCTAGGCAACATAGTGAGACCTCATCTTTACAAAAAATCATAAAATTAGCTGGGCATGGTGGTACGCACCTGTAGCCCCAGTTACTTGCTCAGGAAGCTTGCCTGAGCCTAGGAGGGTGAGGCTGTGGTGAGCTGAGCTCATACCACTGCACTCCAGACTGGATGACAGAGTGAGACTTTAACTCAAAATAAAACAAAACAAAGAAGAAATGGACAAATCTGTTGTTTCTAAGTTTGCTCTCACTTCAATAGGGAACAATTGATGATCTTCATGTCCTGGACCCCTGCAGAGGAAGAAAGCTGTCTGAGAGGCTGATAAACATATTTTCCCTTTAACAGAAGTTCAAGGGTGGGAGCACTTTAACCTCTGGGATCCTACCTCGCATCTCCCTTCCTACTAAGTATCTTCTGTAATGGTTTACTGCCCAGGGGTCACTCAGTAGCTGATGGTCGGGGACTTGCTTTATAAATAGCCCCTCTATTGTAAAACCTCAGGCTGGCATTTGAGAGATGTTTTTCAGACCTTGCATTCTGATGGGTCCATGACCCCACCCAGACCTGGAACATATACCAAGGGCCTGACTCTGCCACTCCTATGACTCCCTCTTAGAAACTGGTTCTGCACCAGAAGGCAGTTTTGACACCCCAAGATCTTATCCCTACTTGATCATCAGCACTTGTTCTATTGCCCTCTGCCCACCAAATTAAAAAACACTAACCTAGGCTGAGTGCAGTGGCTCATACCTGTAATCCCAGCACTCTGGGAGGTCAAGGTGGCAGGACTGCTTGAGCCCAGGAGTTTGAGACCAGCCCGAGCAAGATAGTGAGACCTCATCTCTATTAAAAAAAAAAAAAAAAAATTAACCGGGCATGGTGGCATGTGCCTGTAGTCCCAGTTACTGGGGAGACTGAATAAGAAGGATCACCTGAGCCCAGGAGGTCGAGGCTACAGTAAGTCATGATTGCACCACGGCACTCCAGCCTGGGTGACAGAGTGAGACTCTGACTCCAAAAAAACAAAAACAAAAACAAAAAAAACCCTAGTCTGAAATTCTCAAGGAGGCAGATTGGAGAAATATCTTCTATCCTCCTCACTTAGCTGCTCTATGACTATTACAACTCTCAGCTGCGACACTGTTGTCTCAGGACACTGCTTCTTTTCTGTGCAGTGGACATCAGAACCCGGTCAGGCTGTTATGCTTTGACCTTGATGTACAAAGTTCCAGCCAGTCAGGCAGAAAGCAGACTCCATGGCTACAGGGATGATTGGTGAGCCCTTCGAGGAGTGACTAGCTTTCTCATCAATGACACCCTGGCCCTACTGCTTTTTTCTGTCTCCTGATCAAAGATGGTCAAGAAATGGTTGAGGAAAAAAGAAAGTCTCCTGTCAACCCAGAAACTCCTTTCCACAGCTGTAGAAAAGAAGTTTTATTATTAAATAAGCTTTAAACCAGACTGCCATGCATATCACAAACAACCTGCTGATGACATTACAAAGATGGAGAGAAATCCCACTCTTTATAGAGAGCTGAGCATCATATGACATATATTCTCTCAAGATTCGTGGTAGCCTGCCCTCAGATAAGAGGACTTGACCACCTCATTTGCCAGGCATGCTTTCAGAGTTCAGCCTAAGCTCACCGGATAGTGGGGTACCCACCGTGCCTGTCACTGGCCTATGCCTTAAGGAACAACTTCTTGATGATGACACAGGCTGTTATGGCTTAGAACAGCTCTCCTGATGAAAGGAAGATAGGGACATGCCCTCCTTGATATTTACATTTCAAAGAGATGAGTCCCAGGCTCTTAAGGAAACAAGTCCTGGATTGTAATGCTGGAAGCTTATTTAGCCTTTGACAAAAGTGGTAAATCCACACAATGCAATGTATTTGCCCAGAGAAAGGAACTAAACAATGACACATGTTACAACATGGGTGGGGCCTTGAAGACATTATGCTAAGTGGAAGTAAACCAGTAACGAAAGGACAAATATGGCATGATCCTATGTCTAGAACAGGCAAAATCACAGCGACAGAACGCTGATTAGAGGTTACCAGGAGTGGGGGCGGGGGCGGAGTGGAGAGTTCTTGTTCTTGTTTGGAATGATGAAAACATTCTGGAAATAGTGGTGATGATTATACAACATTGTGAATGTATTTAATGCCATTGCATTAAAAAATGATTAAAATAGTACATTTTCTTTTCTTTTATCTCTTCCTCCTCCTCTTTTTTTTTTTTTTTTGAGTCAGAGTCTCACTCTGTCACTCAGGCTGGAATGCAGTGGCATGCTCATGGCTACTGCAGCCTTGACCTGCTGGGCTCAGACATCCTTTCACTTCAGCCTCCCAAGTAGCTCGAACTACAGGCACATGTCACCATGCCCGGCTAATTTTTTTCGATTTGTTGGAGAGATGCGGTCTCTATGAGTTGCTCAGGCTAGTCTCGAACCTCTGGGCTCAGGCAGTCCTCTCAAAAACTGTTAATTTTCTATTAAACTTACCAGAATATAAAAAAAACAAAAACACATATACAAAAGATTTACATACATATCAAAGGGACAGAGGATATATTTACAGATAGATAATTTCTCAGGGAAATGCTCTAAGAAAGGAGGAAGAAAATGGTGTATTCTTTTTTTTCTTGGCAATAGTGAAAATTCTAAGTGTTAACATTTCCTCTGCAATACCCTTTTGCTGAACTGGCCTATCTCTCTGACTATCCAAGTGAGAGCGGGCTCACACTGCCCTAGGTCCTGCTTAAAATCACCCAGCACAAGCCCAAATCCTAGCATAAGGCCCCCTGGGCCTTGTTTTGCCTAAGTCCCCTGAGGTCATCTGGTGTGGGCTCTCCCTTGCTGCATCAGCTCATAAATATATCTTTGTTGGCTTGCAGGTAGAGTTCTGGTTGTTTTTTCTGGTGGGCTCAATACTCACCTCCAATGACATCTCCAATCTAGCCAGAGAGACCATTTCAACACTCCCTCTAACTCCATCAACACCTGTTTTGCCAAGATTCAAGCCCCATTCTTTCTGTAACCTCAAGATGATACATAAGCTTCTGAACCTGTTGGGGGGCGGGGTCAACCCTTGGTGACTCTCCCTCCACTCCCATGTGCCCATTTTTTTTTTTTTTTGAGTTGGAGTCTCACTCTGTCGTCCAGACTGGAGTGCAGTG